CTAAGTCCCAACTATGATTTGGAAGGGTTAAATGGCTCAAAAACCCCATTATTGTGTGTTTATGGCCCAAGATTCATCCTTGGCCGTAAACTCATGTTCCAGGTCCTAAATCCTAATTTAAACATCAATTTGAAGGCTAAAGAGGTTAGATAACAAGTTAGGGATGTTACCTCTTTGATTTGGAGCCTTAAATCTTTGTTTTTGGACCTTTAATTTGGATAAGGAGAGAGGTCAGAGAGAGAGTAGTGAGATGAAGGCAAAAGCTTCAAATGAAGGCTTAGAACACATTATATAGTGTCTATGTTTTGGACACGGTGGAATTCTACCCGATACTGGCGTTAGGCGAGGCTTTTGGTCGTACCTGATTAGGTTGCCGTAACCCGATATGGTAAATTCTAGAAATATTCCGATCACTAATATGGGGTGTTAAAATGATTTCTAAATGTATTAAGACACCCATTAAGTCATTTTAGATACGTACAAGCTAATGACTTAATTAAACAAGAAAATCGGAATCGAATTTGGAAACGACGATTGGTTGCTTGAATTGAACTACGAAAGAGTTACAAGAAGTGGTACGGAAATTTCGGGTTGTTTCAATTGTAATCTGTTATTTTTATTTATGTGAATAAACTATACATGTTGATTTATTTTGTGAATACAACCTTTATATAAAAAAAAATAATGCACTATAAGAATTTGTTTGTGAATAATTTTTTTGTATATTGTAACTATATTATTTTACATGTAAAATCAACGTTATACTAAGACAAACAACATTGTATTAGTTAATGAATATCATTTGCATTTGAATTTAACACGATCAAAATGAAGAATATATTAAATTATATAACATTTACACGTAAATTTAAAAGCATATTGTCTTCGTCAATGATATCTTCTCAATTACGTCAACCAATCGTCAACCACCGGGATATGAACCAACCATTGATTGAAATGTTATTCTTTTATTAAGTTATAACGATACCTGAAAAACATGTAAATACACATAAAAAAATGTTAAAAATATACTTTTAGTTCATAGTAATAGCGATTTATCACATTCTATTTATCACATGGTATATTCAAATGTATAATCATATGTGAATATTATATGATGTATGTTGTTTATAGTGTATATTTACATGTGATAATACATGGTATATTCACAAATGAATATTACATAATATATTCACATATGAATGTTATATGGTAGATTCACATGTGAGTATTATATGGTATTTACTTGTAAATATTACACATTCTAGTCACATCTAAATATTACATGGTATATTCATTCATGAATATTACACAGTATATTCACATATTAATAATATATAGTATATGCACTTGTGAATATGATATAATATATTCATATTTAAATATTAAACGATTTATTCACTTGTGAATATTACATAGTATTTTCACTTGTAAGTATTAGATGATATATTCACTTATGAATATTAGATGGTATATGCATATGTGAATATTACACAGTTTATTCACATATGAATATTACAAGGTATATTCACAGACATATATATATATATATATATATATATATATATATATATAATTTTTATATGTTATTCACATATGAATAATATAAAAAATTGTATATTTGTTTTGTGTTTTAATAATCATATAATGATTAAGGTGCGAAAACATATTCATATGTGAATATAACGTGGTAATTTAGTTTAGGCATTTCATTAAACAATTGGAGTGCATACAGGTAAGCTTTTTAAAAAATGTGAACCACATGATACTTTTACTATTTAAAACTTACAAAATAGTAGATTGATAGAGAATGATATTTTTTAAAAAAATGATTTGATGTTTTTCTAACATTAATTTCAAAGTTTTTTTTGATGATCGATATTGAATGAATGATATGAAGTGAATCTGTTGTTAATTATTGATTACATTGATCTAATGACACTGCGAGTATAATTAATTGTAGATGCTGAAGATATGCTCGTATTCAAGCATAATTAAAGGTTGGATTTAAAGAACAAAAAACGAATTTTTTTTATCTACTGTTGAATGATGTTGATGAACGTGTTTGTGACGAAGATGGATGATTACTTGACACTGGGTCATGTTGATCGATGATTTAATTGAAGAAATCTAGATGATCGTTGAAGGTTGGAGAAGAAATTTAGATGATGAACGATGGAGTAGTAATGAATTTGAATTGTTATCAAATTATCTATAGTTATGTATCTGTGATTGAAGGATATCATATGATATTTACAAGTTTGTCACCGTATATTTTATGTTAAGATACTAACTAAATGATTGGCTGAGAATGATTCCTCCATTCTCAATCTTTTTTTCTCAATTGAACCCTCATCTCTCTCTCTCTCTCTCTCTCTCTCTCTATATATATATATATATATATATATATATATATATATATATATATATATATATATATATATATATATATATATATATATAGGCTTAGGTTATTTTGTTATTACTAACTACTATGTGCCAGAATGCACAGATCTAGACCATCGGATGAATAGAATCAACAATTATGATTTGAGGGTCTATGATATTACAATATGGTAGCATGTATCGTATAACCACACAAATTTCAGCAAAAGGGTATTTTGGTTAATTAACTTATTTAAAAAATGAATTTTTTGGATTTTAATTGATCATTAATTCTCTTATTTTTAAAAAATCTGAATTTTTTAAAATATTTCTAATTAATTTGTAGTATTATTTTTAATAATAACCGATTTAATTCTGTCAGAATGACAAAAAGTCAACAATAAACTAGTAAATATATTTGTTTTTTATTCTTGCAGAATATTGTTTCACTCAAAATACTTTTTATATTAAACATGCTTAAGGAATTATACAACATATTATCAAGAATAACATTTTCTAAATAATATGGATTTTATTCTTTAAGAATCACTATTTACATTCATCATAAACAAAAAGACTAAATAATTATTACAATCATTCTAAAAAAATTATAACCAATAATGGTTTAAGGATTACATTTATTCTTAATGATTAAAACTAAAAATTGTTAAAAAAGAAAAATAAAACATCAAAATCTAACAAAAATACTACTTTATTCTGACAGAATACATTCTGACATAATACATTCTCTTAGAAAACAATATTGTTCTCCATGTTTTCTTCATTTTCCACATTAATGTCAACCTCTTCAAAACCTAAATTCACAAGGAAAACATAATCAACTTTCAAATATAAAAAATTTAGTACATTAAATAGAATAAAACAATAATTTCTACAAACCAACATTAATAATCATCTTTAAACTTGCAATGTATATTATTCTGAAAGAATCACTACTAGAAAACAGCCCTTTAATGACGTGCACACAATAACACTCGTTGATAGAGGACACGCATTTGTGCGTGCCCTAAAAAACAATGTCAGTTTTGCAAAATTTGAAAGATAGAGGGCACGCATTTGTGCGTGCCCTAAAAATAGTGTCTAACAAAAAAATTAAAAACACGAAAGGCACCTATCATAAAAAAGGGCGTCGTCTAAAACAGTTGCTTTATATTTTTCTTTAGGAAGGCGCGTTTTCTTAGGGGGAAATGAAAATACCAAAAAATTAAACAGCTCGCCGATGCATCTCCTTCTTCTTCTAAAATCCTCTACCAAAAAGCCCCTAATAATCCTTTAAGCAAGTCCTCTCTCTCTCTCTCTCACTCTCTCTCTCTCTCTCTCTCTCTCTAAAAAAAGAAACGCATTGATCATCACCATTTTGCATCTAAATCACCTACCGCCTTCTCCTCTACATCTTTACCCCCACCCACGACCTGCTTTCCATCCCTCCATTCTCTCTGCAAACTCTAAGCCACCGCCACCACCATTGAACCCTAAAATCACAATTCGCCTTCCTCTACCTCTGTACTCTCTCCACCCACCGAATCCGCCTTAATTCTCTCCCTCCTTCTCTCCACAGACCCCTTCTACCCATCGATAATTACACTCACCCTAAATTACTTGGATTCCTTCTCTCTTAAAACCCTAATCCAACATATCACACTCCATATTCTACAATGACACTTTTCACAGACCCTTCATCTGCTTATCTCGATCGTTGGCTCCTCAACCGCCGAGTCCTCTCTGCTCGCCGCCATTAGCCATCGCCTCCTTGTGAAGCCAAGCCACCACTGGCTGGAGACCGTCGCACTCCACAGCTACACCAGGGACCTTCAATTTCTTAGCTACAGGTTCATTTTTCTTCAACTTTTTTCTGTTTCATTCATCTTTTTTTCCTATTGCCGTTCTTCCTTCTTTTACATGATTTTTTGTTATTCCCTTCTTAGAGTCGATAAAAAAACCATCACCGTCTCTGGTGGTAGCCATTACTCTGCATATGCAAAGGTAAAAGAAAAGTTTTTTTTTATTTTTTTTATTTGACCCTTTCATGTACTTATCTTTACCCCTACCTTCAACTGGAACCCATGTAGAATTGGTGATTAAATATGGTAAAGGAAATAATTTTAATTCTTACAAGGATTCATATTGATCCAAAAGTTAGTAGAGACACACATATTTTCTTTTGTGGTTGGTACAACATTTGTCTCAGATATCAAAAGGTTAAAAGTTAGCAATAAGACAATTTCCTTAAAGATTGAAAGTGTGATAAGTTTTTTCTCTGAGGATACTCAGGTTTTCTTTTCTTTCTGTCTTTCACATGTGCTTATTCAATGTGGAGTTATGAACTTGGTTTTTATGTGTACATACATTTATAGTTTAAAAATCCAATACTTTAGGGCCAATATTTTCTTTTATAAACATTTTTTTTCCATACATTCATTTTGCAATGTTCTTGAATCTGCAGATGAAATTAATGGCACCATGTGGTTATGTTTAACTCTTCTGCTTCTGTGAAAACTGTAAAATGTGCAAAACCAAAAACATGAATTTTGGGAATTTATTTTTTTGTCATGTTGTGAGCTCTATAAAATTCCTAGAGGATGAATTAGAACTTAATGCCCTTCATAAGCCTAGTACGAGATGCTGCTAAGGTCAGAGAGTCAACTTTGGTTGTCCATGATCGCTTTCTCATAAAGAGTTTGTCTGTTAGAAAAGAACACATTCAGGATGTATCAGTTAATCTGCTGTCTCAATTGAGAGTGAGATTTCTACAGGTAAAGTGTTCATTTGTATTACAAATTTATGAGTTTTTATATTTTGTTCTACTTTTACTTTAGGGTAACTAACAAGATATAATGCAATCACCTGTAAAAAAATAAATTACATTACCTATAATGGTAAAAAGAGTAAATTGTGTTGCTATTCTCCGCAATTTGCCCTTACTTTAAGTAACATTCTATTAGGTGCAGATCCTGTGGAAATCATCTTGTCTAGTTTCTCTTTTGCTCTCTGTGAATGGTGATCCACCTTTATCTCTTGTGAATGATCCCGCTTCAGTAGATTTTGTTCGCTCTTTGTACCAAAGCGTTGTCAAGGAGTGGATTGTTGATTTACTATCCTATGCTCCATGCACCACCCAAGGTCTTCTTTAGGTTTGTGACGTTAATGACTATATTACCCTTATATTCTAGAGTGAATAAGTTTTTTAAATGAGACTTAATGACCATATTACCCTTGTATTCCAAAAAAACAAATTTCACACTATTCATCTATTTTAAATTGAACTCGTTAAGTCATTCTGTCCCGTTTAAGTAAAAAATAAACAACCCTGTAGTCTCAGAAGGTTCACTGTGTAGTTTATTAAGTCTAACAAACTGACTGTGTCCAAACATAAACATTTCAAGAGCAACTTTTTAAAGAAAACACATGGCAAAAAGCACAGACCACTACAGACGTTGTTTGTCTTTTTATCTGAAATAAAAATAGGAACATGGAAAACGGATTGTTGGAAGGGTAAAAAAACTGTCAACATTCTTGCAGTAATGGCATCTGCAGCTACTGCATCAGGTGATGATAGGCGCGTCCGTTTCTCTTTCTAATTATACCATCTGTTTTTTTGAATGGTTATGTGTTGTTGATTGATGTGGATGTATCATAATGGTGTATGTGGTTATGCACATGTTTCTTATAACTATAACGTGATTTTTGTTGTACTTATACATCAATAGACAGTTCATATAAACTAAGAATGCTTCATTTACAAAGCAAAGTGTAACACTTGAGTTAACTTGCTACTAGGTTCTTCTTGGACTTGGATATAGCAGCCTCCAAGATCACCATTCCAACTGAATATTGTCCAGACAATCTTCATCCCACAAAACTCTTGCTTGACCTGGGAAACTTGATAATCCGTACTCAGGTTGGTCCATAGTGATTTCTCTTTGATCAGCCCAAATATCCTTGATTGATAACTTTTTCATAAAATTTCTCAAACATGCACAGGATGATGATGATGATGATGATGATGATGATGATGACGTTTCTCACAAGAAGGATATTTATCTCCAATTCGGTGTAGTATTAAGTGTTGTATCTTCTTTTTTTGTTGATGGTGACTATCATTGGAGTCAACGTTCATTGACAGGAGGATCTAGCGGTTCTTCGCAGTCTAGTATCGTTAGTTTCTTGCCTGCCTATTATTGATAAGTGTGGTGTGACTTTTAAGCTTCAACAGGTATATTCATTTCAAGTTTGAAACATAATTATTATTATATGTTGTCAGTTGATAACACTTCATCTCTCCATCTAGATCCAATCATAGAATCCATCTTTCCCCACAACAAGATTGGTCGTGCGGCTTCCTTTCCTTGGATTTCACTTTCCCCCTACGCGTTCTCATCGACTGATGCAAGTTGTAAAGATCTTTCAGGGAGAGGATAATGATAACGAAGGTCTTGCCCACCCTTGGGATCAAGCTGACTTTGAGGGTTGGTTAGATGTTCTTAATTGGAAGGTTGGTTTGATTCCAGAACCACTCATGCTTTCATCCAATCCAATCAGCCTTGTGATTTCTTAAACTTTTGGAATTTTTTTGTTTATCGTTATTTTGGTGTAGGGTGTGGGAAATAGGGCAGCTGTTTGGCAAAGGAGATATTTCTTAATCGGAAAGGGCTAACTTCAGGAAGATCACCTTATCAACCAAGTCTTTTCAAGATTTTGTGAAATTAGGCATAACCACAGACAAGATCAGAAACCTACTGATTTTGGTGAGTTTTTATTACAATTCAATTAATTTATTCACATAATTTTGATCATTTTTTTTATTTTAATTTGTTATATTAGAGCTTGAAATGATGAAAGAAAGATTTTCAAATCTTTTTGTCAAGGAGGATATTTTCGATAGTAGGGACAAAATTTACTACATATAAGAAGCTTATGGCTTGATCATATCAGAGAAAAAGGAAGCAGTTGAAATTCAAGGTACTTTTCATCAATCATTTTACTGTTTGACTAAGTTTTTAACCTGAACTCTCATTGTTCATCATTTTAACTTATCTTTTATTTGATTTCATAATGCATCATAGTGTCTTTAATTCTTATCTAGTTGGCTTGGTGTATAGATGCTTCATGAAGGATTATGCATTTGTATGGCTAGTATGATCTTTTCCTTCATGTATATATAGATTGTAGAATAACTTTTTTAATGTTTTGGAGCCTGACATTGTTACCGGTGATATTAATTTGTAATTTTTTTTATTTAAAATGATACTTATCATAATTATCTCATATTTTTTTTGGTTCTTTGAAGGGTGATTTTACAGGAACTAGTATGTGAAAATGTTTATGTTGCGTATTATATATTCATATGTCCAGTTGTGCTTTCTATATAGTAAATGTCAACCTTGGACTTTGCATTTTTTGTTCATAGATTACAAACACCAATATCTTTAAAACAATAGAAGATCTAGAGTTTAATTGGGTGATTGAAGGTGATGGATGTAAACTTGATTTTAGAACTCTTAGTCTACTAACATTAGAGTTTAATTGGGTAATTGAAGGTGATTTTGGTTCTTGAAATGAGACTCAAGATATCATATTTTGGCATGGCTAGAAGCATTGGAGGAACAAGACTCAAGCAAAAGTAAACACACACAGAGTTGTTGGCACATAGTAAGCTAGATGATGCAATTGTATATAAATAAGTTCATTTTTTTTATAACATTTACTCACTTTTGGAATAATTATTTGTATTTGACATATTAGTGAAATGAATTATCTTTGTTATTTATGGTATTTTATTTTGTATTATGAGATTTTTAATGTATTATTTAATTTGAAAATTAGTAAATCTATGAATAATATTTTTTTTAAAACATTTAAAATTATGATACGCAAAAATGTGTGTCATCTTCATTTATGACATGGCCTTTCTTGACAGAGGCTTTCTTGATACACATTGCGTGTCATTAACACGCGTGTCGTAAGATTACGACACGTGAATGAGTGTCGTCTTCCTTTATGACAGGGCCTTCCTTGATACGCATTGTGTGTCGTAAACGCACGTCGTAATTGAGCGTCGTAAATGCGCGTCGTCTCTCTTTATGACAGGGCCTTCCTTGATGCGCATTTGCGCGTCGTCTGAGCCTTTTACGACGCGCAATGAGCGTCGTAAAAGGTTGTTTTTCTAGTAGTGAATGTAATGTTTCATTATTTAGGATGTCATTCTATAAGAATTGAGACGAATAACAAGAATAGAAACCAATTTTATTCTGACAGAATTGATTACGGTAATTCACTGGTTAAGTTGACAAGGAATTCAAGACTCTATTCTGACAAAATTTGAAATCGATATTCCATTCTAGCAGAATGATCGACATTAAGATGCATTAAAAAACCTAACAATCTAAATAGAAAAAGGGACTATGAAGAAAATGAATACATGAATGAAAACTACAACTTTTTCACTACATAAATAAATATAAGTATGACGTTATGTTCTCACCATGAGAAGCTCCATTTCTTGTTAAGTAGGACAAAATTTGATAAGATTCTCTACTTGATTATCAGATAAGATTGATTCATCCATAGCTAAAGCTGCAGCCTGTGTTGACAAATAAAATTGCGTTTATTTAACTAATTCACAAGACAAATCAAGTGTACAAACACTGCCATAATTATAATTATATCATACATGTAGAGTGATTGATGATCTAAAACTTGAAAAAGAAATAAAACAGAACATAATAACAATAAAAAACATCAAATTCATCACAAACCAAAAAAATAATAATTCACAAAACAATCAAAATTCAAAAGTGACTATTACGTATTGTGGATTTTTCGATTGCAGGCAAACAACAATCGACAATAGTATCCAAAACTAAAGGGGAGATAAATCGATAAAGCCAAAGTGAAATTGGGGGAAAATGTAATTGAGGTTTGAATTTCGAAGCCAAAGGGTAGGCAATCGACAATCGTCCTCCTCCCTTGATATCTCTCCATAGAAATCAGAAATTTAGAAGTAAAATATTATATACAGATTAACAGATTAGAGAGGAGAGGAGATGAGATGCTGGAAAAACGAGATGGAGGAGAAATCGTTGTAGACGTGAAGATGAATTCCAGAGAAAGAGAAAAAAGAATCGGCTAGGGTTTTTTTTTTCAATAGATTTTGACTTTTACACCCCATATTTAAAGGAAAAATAAACAATATATTAATTATCTACCATAATTAAACACGAAAAAATTACTATAATACCCTTAAATGATTTATTTAACCATTTATTTTTTCCTAATTTCTATTAGCGCATTTATGCATATAATAGTTGCTAGAAACATTTGAACCTCTCTCTCTCTCTCTCTCTCTCTCTCTCTCTCTCTCTCTCTCTCTCTCTCTCTCTCTCTCTCTCTCTCTCTTAGTTATGTTGAAATTAAATCTAGCTATCGACACAATCGCAAGACTGTCATACGACACAATCGCAAGACTATTAGCGCATTTATGCATATAATTGTTGCTGGAACCACCGGTCCACCGCCGTCGGAACCACCATAATATTGCCTGAACCACCACGTCAACGGAAGCACCGGACGACCGCGTCTTCACTCTCTTCAGATCTGCTTGTTCGCCACCTCCATCAGCCTCCCACCGTCCAAAACCACCTAATATGCATCTATCCTTCCTAAATCGTCACCTGATCTCATTTTAGCGGCCACAAGATCTAGTTCCACTGGATCTGAAGCAGAATGTCACCGGATTTGCTTTCCCGATCTGGTTCCACAATCCTCATGGCTTTTCACCTTGTAAAATCGTGTCTGAAAGTATGTCCAAAAGCCACAACGATGTTATTGGTACTCAACTACCACTCCAACATTCTCAGATTTGCTTCTGAATCATCAACAAGGTTAACGATATTTTCAAATTTTTTCTAATCTCTATGGTTAATAACAGAACATACAACCAAAGCCTGTTTTTCCTTGGCGCAGGCAATCAAATATATTGTCTCTACAGGTATCGTTTCATCATATCACCGATTTCCTCTCGGTATTTTGATTTCTCTAGGGTTATGTTTAGTGGAATCTTCATTTATCGTGAAAACAATTGTATTAATTGATATGTTTTTCATTCTATGGTGAGTAACCGCTTAAATCTAAAAGGCTATAAGTGCTTTGAAAAAGTAATTTGAAATCTGATTGGTGTTTACCATTTGATTCTATATATTTTTGATGGATTTGTTGTAATAGATATAGTCTACTAGGTTTACTGATATATTGATGCTATCAGTGTTTTGTTATTCTTTGATGATAGTAATGTGACGTTTTTTACTTTTAAAATTGGGTTTTGAGAAAATGCACATGATTTTTTACTATCTTGCAGTCATATGCCTTATTTAATGAATTCAAGTTACAAAAATATACTTTTATTTAGAAACCATTTATTTTTCTATATTTACAAATTATCCCATTCACAAAATAGTCTGTAGATTCTTATTTAGTATTGACAATTTATATATTATCTTTTTTTAATTTGATTGTTTTGTGTTTTAGAAAGTTATAGCTTACAAATTTTACATCTAAAATATCAATATGTGCATATGTTTTAATTTAATTTAAATTATGACCGCATTCAATTTGTTTTTTTTTTTTTTAGTTAAATTGATTTTGATTAATTATTGGATTATATAAAACTAAAGAAATATTTTCTTAATTTTTTGGATATTCTTTATTTTTATATCTTATGAGTCAACTTTTTATACAAAAGACTTCTTTAAAAATTTATTTGTTATGTATTTTTTTTTAAAATTACACAAGAAAATTTATTAAATAGAAAACATAAAAAGAATTTTGTTCATAATAATCATATGTAATTAAATTTAGAAATTTCACGTGTGATTAAATATGAAAACAACTATTAAATCGAAAACATGATACAAATATTGTCCACATTACTCATATGTGATTAAATACATATAATCACATTTGATTAAATACATGAGAAATAAATTATTTAATCGAAATTGCAAAAATGAATCGTATTCATATAAATCGTATGTGATTAGATACATATAATCACATACGATCACGAACATGTCTATTGACTCTGGAATGCAAAAATGAATTTTGTCTACATAAGTCATATATAATTTGATACATATAATCACATATGATTAAATACATGAGAAAATTTATTGAGTTGAACATTCAAAAACAACTCTTGTGTATATAAATAATATGTGATTAAATACATAAAATAAAATGTGATTATATGTATTTAATCAAACGTGATTTATGTGATTAAATACATATAATCATATATGATTTATGTAATTAAATATTATTCACATAAATCATATATGATTAAATACACGTAATCACATGTGATTTATGTATCTAATCACATATGATTTATATGGTCAAGATTTATTTTCGCGTTCTCAATTAAATAATTATTCTTTTTCCACCTTAATCATATGTGATTAAATACATTTAATACATGCAAATATATGTATCTAATAACATACAATGTATATGTAAAAAGAAAAGAATATTATTTATATAAATCATATATGAGTGTGTGTGTGTGTGTGTGTGTATATATATATATATATATATATATATATATATATATATATATATATTTACATGTGCTTATGTATGTGAGATTAATTACATAACTCA